AAAGTAATTTGTTCAAACATTTACGAGAAAAAAGGGAAATACTCAATTGGAAAAAAAAATTAGGTGGACAATTGGACACTTATAAAATATAGTATGAAAAATCTAAGTGTTCAAAAATATGGTCTTTGAGTATACAACAAAATACAAAAACTTGAATTTGCATTATCAAATTAAAAATAAGAGTGAACATAATATTATGATTTGTGAATCACTTCTCATATTAATATAGGTAATAGGCATACAAACTCATTACAAGTATTATTGTAGGTAAAATAAGATATGGTAATATAACCATGGTAGGTATACATGTAATATGGTATGAACTTTGCACATTGAATTCTAACCAATTGTTTGCATTATGTATGTGTATAAAATGCCAAAATCACGGTTTTCAGACGATGACATTTTCGAAAGCGCTCTTCGATAAGCTGGTCGGAAAAGAAATAAAACGCGTACCTACCAACTACCTATACCACCATACAAAATATCGATAAATCAAAACTGTTATTTTTCCACCCCGCAGTTTTACGCCATAGTAATAATGATAATAATAACCATAGTAATAGTGATAATAAAGATTTGAAACTGCGGATGTCATTTATTGCGATCGCGCGACATCAATAATTGTGAAAATCCCTTTTGCCCGCGATGTCACGCAACACACCACGCGGATGTAGACCGTTTTAAATCAAAACACCAACAATCACATTTCACAGTAATAATAATAATAATAATAATAATATGTACGCGTATAGTGGGCAATGCCGACAACGTCTATGTTTTCAAAACCCATTCGTAAATTCACCGCCAGCGTTTACGTCCGACAAAAAAAAAAAAAGTAAAAAAAGTACGATTAAATCCGTTTTACGCTTTTCGCTGCATAATATATACAACCAAACCGGCATTATGCATATTACATTATTGGTATACATATGTAATATTATAATAATATGTGTGCGTGCGCATGAATAAATCATAACCTCGCCGCCGCAGCGGTTTTATACCAGATAGGTGCTGCAGGGGACCCGCCCGCGCTACACCGATATTTATGCACTTGATATTAAACATATTGCGCTATACGATATGATATTATACACACGAATCCACACATATTGTGATGATGATTTCCACGGGTATAAACTGTGTCGCGAAGGGTTTTTTTTTTTGGAGGGGGGGGGGTAAAGCCCGAAGTAGGTCTACGACATTGCGGGGGTCTCGAATGGCCTACGAGTTCTATGATCTCGTCATTGTCTGGATCATAATCACGGTGTTATATTGCATAAGTATCGTCATGATTTTAATCACTGTGCAGTAGTTTCTTACGAGCTAATAATGTTTTTGTCGACCCGATAGCGACACGTCTATTATTGTTATTCAAACTTTTAATGTATGCATGATGTAAACTCAAAAACGAAATTCTGCTATTGTTAGTCTATTGCGCAGTCGCGTTGTGTTATGATTGTTCACATTTAGTAGATACGGTCTCGCTGATTTCAATATGCTAAATTGAATTAGAATTATAGATGAGTACATCATGTTTGATTAATCGTACGGATTTTATTTTTGAAACCATATACCATATTATTATATTCAAGAACTGCATTTCTAGATAGTTAAAAACTAAATATACTTTCAAACTTAATTTTTCAGAAACATTTTAGGGAACATGTTAAAATAGTGCTGGAAGTTTGATTTATTTCTTTTTGTTATCATAAAGTGGAAAAACCATACAGTTGTATTGCCTAGAAAATACATACACTTATAATAACAAAGCTGCATCATAAAACAGTGGTAACTTAAGCAAAAAAAAATTAATTATTTACCTTTCTATATTGTAGACCAAATATTACAGGATTATGAAATAAAATTGTATTACAAATATTTTATTTGAAACCACCGATTGAAATCATACATAAAACAATCGAGATCGGATAAGAATATTTAATAACTAATTTTCAGTTTTAATAGTCATATTTTTTCAAAAATTAGTAGCAAGTAGATTTTAAAATTGTATTAAATACATTTTTTCTAGTTAATCTCTCTTGAAGAAATGGCTTTGTCTATTAATGAATATTTTTGTTTGTTTATTTTCAACAATAGTTCTTGGTTGCAATCAGTATTATTTTGTTAATAGAATAAAATATTTAATATAATCGGTATCATTAATATTATTTTTTTTTTTAAAGTTTTTATTAGAGAATATACAATCTATACATAAAAGCATAATAAGAATATGTGCTACAATAAATTTAAAAACATAAATAAGGTGAGGCAAGAAACCTTCCAATGATTGCACTTCCTTTTGCTTAATTTATTTACATATTTTTTTATTTAGTTGTAGTTAATTATGTTTATCTATAAATATATATATATATTTGTTAATCATTAAGAAGATCTCTGCACCAATTTCTTTTTAGTCACCTTGGTGGATTTCCTGGAACCGTTCGAGTGGCTAGACCGGATATTAGAGGTTTAGGATGAAAAGGCAATTTGTAAAAGAAACGTACGTTTATAGTAAGTTTTAGCTTCTTCATGGATGGTTTTGGTTTTTAAATCAGAATGAAGAGTAAAACTAGAAATATAAAATGGGGCATTGGTGATGGAGCGCAGTATTTTGTTTTGAACGGTTTGTATTTTGTTATGGTTGGATTTTTTGGCATTGCCCCAGAGTTGTAGTCCACCTATAATAATATGAAATACGTATTGTAAACGTATAATTATATTTATTGTGTATTTAAACAAAAAAAAATTAATATTCCGAACTTCTGTATAATCAGTAATAATTGCCATAGTTAATTAATTAATTTTTTTATTGATCTAAAGCCTAGCAACCGTGGCCATAAGCTGTTTGATTTGGAACACGTATTTGTATGTGTGGCTAAAAACCCAGGGGGTCACCCATCCGAGTGTTAGCAACAGCGGCTGGTACGTACTCAGAGCGTTGCCACAGATTGAACGTACGACCGCGTCTCACCAAGCCACATTGTTTTTTATTTATTTATTATAAGCATAATACGTGGTAGTAGTTATAATCGGATCCATCGTAAAATGGTCTTTTTCAATTATTTTCGATACATATTTGGGAATTAGCAAATTAGCTGATACTTTAAAATTATGTAAGTATATTGAAAAAATCTACAGTTAATACTCGGCCCTAACTGGATTCCTGCGGCTGAATATATATTTATAATATACTATGCGGACTAACTATCAGTCATCACATCATACTTATAATATTTATTTGAACTCTACAGAGATAACTACCATTTTCATAATATAATAAATTTTAAAAAATGTACATGGTATGGGTACAAAAGTAGAAGGTACTACAAACTTAGATCATCGAAAAATTGATGTTTTTACCGCCAGGGAAGTTTTTGCATGAATTCCGCTTTTTTCAATGCGAATAATGAAAAAATACTTACAACAGTATTACAAATATTATCGCATAACACTTTATTCACTCCTGTCTGTGAATAAAACAGTATTAGATGATAATATTATTTATAAACCATAATTCCATAAAAATAAACGTCACAGAGGATTGAATATTACGTGAGAGGTACCTATGATTCAACATCAACACACTCACACCTACACATATGGAGTTGATCGAACGGTTTTTATATTGTATCAATATAATATAGGTAAGTATAATATGCGCACGTGTGATGTTTATAGTATATACATTATACATATTGTATGCAATTTATATCATATTTATGCGAGTGCTTTTTTTTTCTTGAATTCTGACATTATCTCATTCATGCATATTATACGATTTCATTTTTTAGTTTCTGAGTGGAGCGATGATTGTATTGGTTTTACAATGATGTATTGTTTTTTTTTGTCCGAGTACATTTTTTGGAACAGAAAATTTCGTCAATTTTCAGAACTTCTGGAATGATGACGTACTATATAATCTGAGAATATCAAACATCCCCTTCTCCAATAGAAGACTTGGGTAGTCGTTTTATTTTATCAAAGATGATAGTTTTGCTTGGCGATGAACCAGCCACCGTATAGGAGATGCATTTATTTGATGAATGCTGTCATGAACGATGTACCTACCTCAGCCATTACTTGGCCCGAGTTCAAGGTGAATTGTTTGGAGTTTGGAGTTGCGAATAATTCCACTATATAGTCTCTTTTACATTATCGTTTTCAAATATTGAAGTATTTTATGTAATAAACATTGAACGTTGATATGAAAATTGGTTTTTTTTTTCAATAGTCCATTTCAATATTATATGCAGCGCCTATTAATAATTTCAAGTTAGTATAATATACCTAATTTACATATTTTATCGTATGTGGTATTTCATCTATTGTCTCCCCTTTTCAGTCTTTGCCATTCATAACAGTTATATTACTAATGTACAACGATGTAAGACATAAATACCTACCCTCCTATTAGGGTTATAAGAGGTAAATATACCTACTATTATATTGTATAATGTGTATGATTTGTAAATACTTCCTTCGAAGAAACAAAATTTAATCAGTCCTAACTTATAATGAGTTTGTACTTACAAACATTCCCATCCCTGGGTATATCTAAACAAAAATCGTTTTAACTGTTACATCTCATTACCGTATGACGTACATTAAACAAAGTATAAAAATCAAAATAGACACACAATCGAAAATTAATTAGTTTGCGGAATCATCGCATTATACGCATGTGCTCTGTGCGCCTACCAGTGGCGCCGAGTTCATTAAAAAAAGGTGGTTCAACTCTCCCCAAAGACCACCCACCCACCCACAAAACTAAACCACACAAAAGCGCTCGCTTCGCTCGCGAATCACATACACTTTAATTGTCAAACAACTGTATTTTTGAAATTAAATAAATGTATCTAATTCAATAAACCTTATTGTTTAGTATTTACAAACATTTTGATAGCATATTATTTGCATACATTTATAGCATGTAAAATTTATTTTTCTTCTTATCAATCTATTATTTATTATATAAGTATAAAACTTAATAGGTACATAAATATGAAAACATATTGAGATTTTTATTCATAAAATAAAAAATAAAAAATTATAATTTCAGTTTACCAAAATACCAAACATTAGGTTAGATGTTTTGATAATACAGATGTAGTACTGGCAAACTCATCTACAACTTGATTATGATCTATATCAATATCAGATTCGCAAGAAATAATCATTAATTGCTCTAAGCGGTCCTGACTAATTGTTGTCCTCAATCGGTTTTTAACAATTTTTAATTTAGAGAACGTCCGCTCTGGTGTTGTGCTAGACACTGGTAGTGTACATGCGATTTGAAGAGCCATGTATAATGTCGGGAAAATGCTCTGTAATCCGGAAGTATGACATACCTATAAATGACAATAATTTAGAGTTACTATTAAATAATTTATTTTTTGCTCTTATCCAGCAAATAAGGAATGTAAATAAATAAATTAGTAACAACCTTAAATACGTGAAGAAGTGTTCCCAAATTTTGGCTATTGTTTTTTTTTAGACCAACAGTATCTTCTTTTTCTTCTTCTTCATCGCTGTCTTCTAAATCTGAAGAACTTTCTTTATCATCACTAGTTGCAGAACTAGGATGTAAACATTGAGAACCTATCATAGTAGATTCAAAATAAGAAAATAATTTTGAAAATTCTATATATTCTTTTTTTAACTCTGTATGATTAATAAATTTGCTGTACAAATTACAAAATTTATTAAATGCATCATTTGGTAATGTATTAGGGTCAGATTTTGTTTTTTTCAGAACTGAAACAGAAAATAAAGAAATATCTTTCAATAATTCTTGAGATTTTGAATGGAAGCGTTCTTCAATACAAGTAATTGCTGAATCTATTGCAATTAAGTATGTTTTAATTTTATAGTGGGATTTAGGATCAATAAATGTATGGTCTTTAGTTGTTTCACCAGACAATAACTTTTTCTTTCTACTACGCTGTATTGGTAATGAAGTGAATGTAAACTCCGATTTATTCATAAATTTTGTTGCTTCATTGCACAAGTCGTTAAATGCATCATCTGACCTCAAGCGTTTGATGCTGCTCGAGACTGCTTGAAGACTATTTACTGCACCTAGTAAATCAATATCTTGACTTTGAAACATTTTTGTTACTGGGTCTAAAATATTGAATAGATTTTTATAACAGATTGCTGTCAAAACAAATCTTTCTGACAAAAAGAAATCTATTAAGCCCGTAGCTTTAGATCTGGCTTTGAAGTCTGCATTTTCAGTTATTTTGATCTGTTCTAATGTATTAATAACTATGTCGTATGTTAATAATACTGTGTTCAGTGCTGATGAGTATGACATCCAACGAGTGGTTTCTACTCTTTTAAGTCTATGCACTCTTGCTTTAGGATTTTTTTCTTTTTGCATATTTTCATATATCGCTACGCGCTTTTTACTTGTTGAAATCAGTGCATACAACTGCTCAAGATTCCCAAATGTATCAACTGCATTAGCTGAACAGCTTGACATTTGAACAACAACCAAACTAAGCCTATGTGCATAGCACCATGTATAAATCGCTGCTGGGTTTATTTCTCTGATTAAAGCTTGTAGTCCTTCATATTCACCCCGCATGTTGCTGGCTCCATCATATGATTGACCAACAAGCAGCAATTTCCAATCCAAATCATTTTCTATGCATATATCTTGGAACACGGAAAATAATTGTCTACCGGTGGTATTAGATGTTTCTTTAAGTCCAAATAAACGTTCTCGTATAACTGGAGAATGTTCAATTATACAAACATAACGAATTATAAATGCCAGTTGTTCTCTTCTAGAGCTATCAAACGTGGTATCAATTGAAACACTAAAAAAATTGTTACGATCTAACTCTTTTTTTACAGATTTTTTTATACATTTTGAAACAGAATTTATCAATTGATTTTGTCTCTGCCATGAGATGAAGTTAATTTGATTTCTTCCATGTATTTGAAGACGATCTATATAAACAGCCAAGGTAGGAGAAAATTTACATAAAAGTTTTACCAAGTCTTTAAAATTGCCTTTTATTTGCTCAGACCAGCCTTCTCGATGACCCCGAAATGGTAAAGAATGTTGTCCAAGAAACAGTATTATGTCAATTAAAATATGAACTATTTCACGATTTTCTGCTACTTGATTTCTTTTACTTGCATACATTTGTGGAAGAACAGCCATTGATGAACATTTCATTTTTACAACAATTGAAGCATTGATATGAACTTCTGTTTTTTCATGTACACTTATATCCATAAGACGTTGCCATGCATGAAATCCATCATAAATCCAAGATTTTTGAGCATTTTTCCCAAAGAACATGCAGTGTAAACAATAAAATCGTTTACTACTCAGAGAATAGCTCAACCAATCCCTCCAAAGACGACCACCATTTGGCAAAGATTTATAATACTGATTACTATTAAAACGATGTCCATGCTCTTGAGGAAAATTTCCACCAGGAAGTTCATGCTTCTCAGGCTGAAATGGTTTACGAATTAAAGACATTTTTTCTTCAATTGATAAATTCTTTACCAAAGTAAATAACTTTGGATCAAATGATAAAGTGTTTGGCCGTTCTGTAACAAGGTAATACATTAAAAAAATAGATATTCAAAGTTGTTTTGTTACAATTAAAATAACATTAATATAAACATTTGTACCTACCAGTTTCATTTAAACAACTTGAGTAAGACATAATCTGTTCTACTGGCTCATCACAATGTACACTGGAACTTGGATCATCTGGGAATACTATAATATATTTAAACAAAATAAACTTATTATTTTTCAAAAAATCTAGTATTACTTATTTAATTTTCAATAATTGTTATTTGTTTGTATTTATCAAGGAAACAGTATTAAATATAAATATTTGTACCTACCAGTTTCTTTTAAAAAGCTCGAGTTATGCATGATCTGTTCTACTGGCTCGTCACAATTTACACTGGAACTTGGATCATCTGGGAATACTATTAATACATTTAAACAAAATAAAATAAATATAGTCATATAGGTACCTAAATAGAACATAGACACATAGTTGCTACAAGGTACAAATATATAATATATTTTTTACTATTTTATACTATAGATATTATAGCTACCTTTTAATTTTTAAACTAAATTTAACTGGTTAAAATTCAAAAACTATTTATCCAAGTAAAACTTAGTAGGTACTTACCAATAGAACAAGAATAATTTGTTCCTGTATTCGGTGTAGGAAAAAATGAAGAGATTGAACGAGAAGAAATTTTAGTTTTTCGTACTTTACAGTTGTCTACATGTCTTTTCCAATTAGTGATATTTAGCTGCTCTCGTTTTTTTCCACAAACGCACATACACTTTTCCGACATATTAAGTTTTTTATATAAACAAGAAGTTATAAAAGTAAATTATGAATATTATAATGTAGTACCTATATAGAAGGTAGTAGGTACTAAGGTAGAGCAATATTCAAAAATGTATTAATTAAATCAAACTCTTAAAATTCAAGTAAGAAAAAATGTATCATTAATTCGTATATACAACACTTCACAGTTTACAGTACACAATACACAAATGAGAAAATAAGGACATTAGTAATATTAGTAATTACCAACTGCACAAAATATGAACAAATAACAATGTTCACTGTAATCCGTGTTGGTATAAATTTTGGTAAGCTGTATCCCGCATATTGCATAATGATATGAATAACAACAATAATAATATTATTATTATGCATTTATCAGTTTTATCACAGTCTAAAAATATCTTGTCGTTTTTATATTAGTGGCTAGTGCTAATAACATGGTGGTGCGACTGGACGGTATTATTGGATTTCAAGATAATTTTAGATTTTTACCCGATTTCGATTTTTGACCAACGATAGTCAATAAATTTTCACACAATACCTACATAATGTTCAATTCAACTATGAAGTATTAAATTATCAGATTATATAGAGACTAATAGAGACCATGAATCATGAGTCAATATTTTGGCCACATATTTTAATATTTCATCCATAGGGATCCATAAGTGGAAACCCGTATAATGTTACATATTTACATAAATTAATAATAATAGCAATATAATACAAAAGTTACACTTTCATAAAAAATCATTTAGACAGCGACTGCCGACTGAGTGACACACCGACACACACAGACTACTAAGTACTAATATAGATTATGGACATATTATGCCATTATGGTAATGAATAATTATGTAATAGCTAGTGTTATAATAATAATAATAATACCATAATAACGCAATATTGCAATACCTAGGTTATAGGTAAATAGGTAATATGTTGTAACTAATGTAACTGGTAACTGCTTAACGCTTTAGTAGTTAAGTACCTATAGTACCTACTTTAATACTTTATACTTAGTATGGTAAAAGAATTAACCATCTTGGTTCAATATTTTTAATGACCCAACACCCAACCAACCCACCCACCCACCCATAATTTTAGGTGGTTCAAATGCACCACCTTAAGTGCGTACTCGGCGCCACTGGTNTGTAAGGATTCAAATAAAATTAACCATGAAAAATCATTTACCGAATAATACAATACATATAAATAATTGTAGATTAATGTAGGTTGAAGTAGGTAGTCTTTTTTAAATTAATAAAATATAACCACAAATTTTATATTATAAATGTTATTTTATTGTTAAACACATATGGTTACTTACTGTTTAAAATCAGATAAAATTTGACCTAAAGTATGAAATGATTTATCAAAATTTGTAGTTAATGAATAAAAATACTTTTGTATAAAGAGCCATACTACACATGATTCACATGGATATTCCAAGTTAAACAAATGAAATAATTTAAAGCAAACATCTACAGCAGATAGTATAGTAAATAATTTATACTTAATACAATCGAAAAAAACAATTATTTCTTTAGGATTAGTAGGGGTACCTACAATAATAATAAATGGCTGAATTGGATTTTTTTCATTCTGGCGCATAACAATGTGTTCTTCAATTTCAGCTACAGAATTTTTAAATGTCATGAAGCTGTTTTGAGAATCTTTTATTAAGTATTTTATTTGACACTTCTTCCCATTATGATCTTTAGTAATTTTTTTTGCAGTAGGTACTAGTATAGCATGTAATAAATACAATAAAACTGTATTTTTACCATCTAAAAAATAAAAATTATAAATATTTTTATCAGACATGTACCTTAGAAAATCTATTAATTAAATGAATAACAAGTATAAATATATATCTGTGACTAAGTAAAATATTATAATCAAGACTTTTGACAAATAAGCTTTTAAGTCTTAATTATCCATATAATCAAATGGTATTTAATAAATTGTTAATGACCATATTATAGTTTTAAAATAATAAACATAAAGGTGGGTTTATTTGACAAAATATCATGTACCTATATCATTGAATAGATACTTACTGATTCTATAATTCATATTTTGTCATTTTATCAAATAATTTCCATATATCCAATATTATCTAATATTTATCTATTAATAATATTTTATATTTATCTATTTTTACTCAAACAATGACATTTAACCACTAGCAGCAGTTATTTAATCATTGTTAAATATTTAGCCATGCTTAAAATAAAGTAGAACCCAGTGGCCAGTGGTTACAGTTAATATTGAATTTTTGACCCCCTAATATTTCTATTACAATGATTTAATTATAATAATTACTTTGGTTTATAATGGAAGCATCATCTCTTAAAGTTTCAAACAATCTACGATTGGTGGAGTCCTTCAATTTTTCATCCATGAGTTTAACTATATTTTCGAATTTATTCTCAAATGTATTCAATAATGACGAGCAGTTTGGATATAATGTATGAAAGTCAATATCAACCTAATGTTTTCAGTAACACTTTAAAATCACATATTTATTTTATAAAAATTATCTTACAAGTCTATATCCCAGTGGCAGTGTATAACTATTCCAGTTCTTGATGATTTCACTAATAGAAACAAAATTTTTGATTTCATTTAATCTATAATTTGTTGTAGACTTCCAATTATTTTCCAGATCAGGGAATGAACAATTTAAATCATATTTTATTTGATCAACAATGTAATCAATGTCATATTCAGGTACTAAAATAATTAATTTAAAACAATCAATGTGAGATAAGTAACTACATTTAAATAAATTATTTCACATTTTTTAATTAGGAATAAATAGAATTAATAATTTAATTGAAAAATATTTACTAAATTAATTAATTTTTTGATTTAAGTCTAGTTCTACGACCTACTAACCAATATACAAACTAAAATAATAATTAGTTTAAACATTTTTTTTAACTAGATACTATTTACAATAGGTTAATTCATATTAGATCTTTATTAGCAAATATTACAATAAGTAATATTGAAATTATATTTATGACTAAAAAAATAATTTACCAAATTCTTTATTGTACTGACGATGAGTTTCTGTATCTATTGTTCTTTTAACTTGAAGTCCTTTAGAAGGTACTAAACCACATGATTTGAGTGTTCGCATTGCATTATAATACTTTGCGTAGAGTTTGCCTTTAGTATTTTTATTTTGTACATCCTTCATGAAATATGTGTCCTATAGAAAAAAAATGTAAATTATAATGTCAATGAGTTTAAATAAATAAAAACATATTTCTTACTTTTACTTCAGATGGAAACATTGTGATAATATGATTTGCAATAGTTTCAGCCAGGTACACAGACATAGGTACACATATTTTTTGTTATCACATAACTAATAATAGTCTCAACTAATAATGAACGGATGTTACTATTTAATTTGTTATGTTCTTTGTAGTAGTCAATAATCATTGTTCCTGTAGTCGTTTCATTTAAAATTTCTCCCAAATCTATAGTGACAGATGTTGATGGTACTTGTAAAGGTTGTATTGTAGGTTCTTTAGGTTCGCTGTAAGTTGAAATTACACTTGTTGTTGTATGTTCATCTGGTTTAGAGCGGTGAAGTGAGTTTTGCCAATTTTCAAGTTCATGTTTAAATAATATTTTAATCCCAATTGGAAATGTTTTTAACATTTCATTTACATCTTCTTTGTTCATGATTGCCAGTATTTTCATATCAATTAAATTATCTGCAATAACAAATTAAAATTCACATTACACACCAACAACAGAATTTTGTAATAGTATTGTATTTTTACCAAATAAAGTTTTAGACAAACATTCTAAACCCCATTTTCTTAATAACTCATATAACGGTTCAACATCATCCACAGGATATTCATAGCCCTCCAAAACAGAAATTGATACTGGAAAACTATTTAAATCCTATAAATATAAAATTTGTGTTTAATATTTTATAAATATTAAAAACAAAATATAAAAATTAACTTGCATTCGAGTTTATTGAATTATTCATAGAATTAAGACCATCTTTATTTACATCATCAAGCATATCTTCTATGTTTTCTTGCAAAGCATTCATATTTTATAGCAAATATAGCACTAAAAAGACAAAAAGCAATATGAACAATGAACATAAGTAAATATATTTATATTCAATTAAGTATATTGTACATATTATGCAATACAATTTAAAAGCTTAAACATTATATCATAATAAATATATACAAGTTAGGTAGGTGCATTGTATTTATTGTGCAAACAAATTAAAAAGCTTAAACATGAATACATTATATTATAAATTAATAGAAGTTAGGTATTAATATTACAAATAAAAATAAATATATATTAAAAACAATATTCTTTTGGGCGTATCATTAATTTTCCAGAAGCTATTTTAGTGACATTAATGGGTGGTCCACTAAATTCATTAATATGAAATATTAAACACTCATTAAAAATGTATTTATTTCCATCAACTTCAAAGGCCTCAAGATGAGAATGGTGACTAACTATTTTAATTTGTTTAGCTATTATGTACACTTTATCACTTGAACAATTAAATATTAATATTTCTAAAATTTCATATAAGCATAAATCTTCAATGTACTTGGTTAAATAGTAACCTCTTTTATATATTGTGCCCATATATTCTATTTGACTATAACACTTGAAATCTGTTATTGAAAGAGAAAGCATGTCCCAAATAGGCTGTAAATAAAGACAACAAATATTGTGTTTTAAATTAACTATTATATTTTCAGTATTTAAATGTAATAAGTAGTGTGCAAATTTAAATTGAAACTTTTTAGCCAGTGTTAATGTTATATTCTTCCTTGAAGATGTTGATCGAGCATACATTTTTAGTTCCTTGTGTTTGCCTTCAAATCTAAAGCACCAGTAATGCCTAGGAGGACCAGAATGTTCAATTACAGTAGGATAATGAATCAAATTATGATGCTTGGGCTTCAGTGTGTCATTAAAAAGAGTAACATATAAATAATTATGTTGTGTTATAAATTGTTTGAGATTTATAATTGAATTATAAGTAAATTCATATGATAATAAGCAATCAACGATTTTGAGAAGTGTTAAATAAAAATTCCATACTTCATCACCTTCAGGAACCAAGTCTCCTATCATAAGAGAAAAAAAATGAATGAATGTCATCATTTCTCTTGCAGACATTTTTAAATGTAATTTACTTAAATTCAAATCTGTTATTTCAGGTGAAATGTTACCAACTTCAATTGGACCATAGTTGAAATTTTTTTTACGATTATTTAAAGTTGTCAAGGAAAATATTTTAATAGTGTTGACATAATATTTTATAATGTGGCACATGTCATAATGACATACACCTTCAAAAATATCGTGCATGACATCTACACAAAAGTTTTTAGTCACATGAAAACTATATATAGAGTTCATAACTGATTCTTTATATATTCCTGTTTCACTAAAATTCATTTTTTCTACATCTTCCAAATAATTGTCAATCGTACGTAAACAAGAAGTATCTTCTTCGTAAAGGCTATGTGTATCAGTTTTATGAGATTTGCAAAATCGACAAAAATAATTTGCTGAAAAAGACTTACTGAATTCTAATATACTATTCAGACCCAAATTATCACCCAAAACTAAACCAAGTAAAAAATGGACATGAACATTTCCTTGATCTGTTGAAATACTTAATCCTTCTCTTTCAAGTGTATTTAATTCATTTATTAATATGTTTAAACTAGAATAGTTTCCAAATTCTTTAAGGTCAACTGATTTTATTAAAGCTGCTAAAAAAATATTAGAAAGTTTGGCATTGTTCTTCATAAGAGGAAAATTATAATAAATAGCTGCTATTGACTGAAAACTTGCATGGGATCCCAATGGATTGTTAATTTCAAAGTCATCAATGTATAAAAAGTAGGGAAATACTATTTTTCCTTCATACTGGGTTACTTTCTCTTTCCACAACTTTCCTTGGACAAAATTTGTAATTGAACCAAAATTTAAGTTATATTTCATAATTTGATCATAAAATGTTTTGAAATTATTTTTGTGTTCAAAAAATTGTTGAAATTGTTGTTTTATTGGTAATAGGGTGCCTTTTGTTACTTTTTCATCATATGATATACTACCACTATGATCTACAGCAACAATTTCATTATTTATAGTGAACTGACTAATGTTTGATAATAAATTATTTTTTACCAGCCAATTAACCAAACGATATTCCGAACCACAGTAATAAAAAGGATCTAAGACAATAGATTCAAATTTTTTAAATTTTGAAAGAATTGAGGGTTCTTTGATATTTTTTTGAACTATATTGTTCAAAATTGATGCCATTGGCTTTAAAATATAGACTTTAATTCCAGATTGAATATTAATAACATCACTATTATTGAAATTATTATTATTGTAGAGACTTAAAATAAATTTTACACTTGACTCATATAATAAATGAGTGGCATCATCAAAATTGAACGAATTTGTAGTATTATCATATA